TATATATATATATATATATATATATATATATATATATATATATATATATATATATATTTGCGCCCTCCCACGGCAAAAATCCATAAGTCGCCACTGCCCTTACATCCTTGGAAGCTGGTGCTTAAAGCAACTTTTGAGCATGCTTAGAAAGACAGCAGCAGGGATTCTTGTTACCTGTCTCCTGAAATACTCCGGGCCCTTGTTGAGGATGCGGAGGGGTACGGTGGAACTGAAAGGCGTTGTAGGGCAAGTGGCCTTGCTATCTGGGAGAGCAGGAGCCAGTGTCTCTGTCGGCATGGCAACAAAGCGACTGGAGTGGCTGGCCGTTGTGACAATCAGTGCAGGGTGAACAGCAGAGGGTAGGGGCACTGGATAACCCCCAAAGCATGAAGACACAAGGTAGCAATGGAAAGGTCTAAAAAAGTGTTGTCTGTGGTCCTCCTTAGTGCTTCTGTGATGACAGGACGGTGGGGGCAGTTGTCAGCTTCTGCATTGCCTTGATTGATCTTTTATTGCTTACAGCCACTGATAATCAATGAAATTTGCCTGACCTAATCGAGGAGAACAACAGCTGGCTGCAAAAAGAAAGGTCCGCTGCTTGTCCATACGTAGTCCAACTCTTCCTGCTTCACCTGATCGGAGTCAGACATAAATAGAGAGAAATAAACAGCCAATCAGTTTAAAGCTGGGTTGTGACATAATGCAGTCAGTAACAATATCAAAGTAAAGTCATTACACAAACACTATGTATCACAGAATATCTGCAAGTGTTGAACAAAACAAATTAAAAATCGCACAAGAGGTACGTCGATGTCCCCTCTCGCTCAAGGATTTGAATAGTGAACATTGTGGATTTCGAGATGAGTGTTCTTCTGGACTGGAATTGAACAGGTAATGCAAGCAAGCCTGAATGTTTTTGGTGCAATATATTAAAGTGGGTAGGAGTTACTGTGGAGAAGAACAGAGGGAGGTTGTTTTCTCTTGTCTGAGGCAACGCAGAGTGGAAGGACAACTACTACTACTACTACCACAACTCCTACAACTACTACAACTCCTCCAACTACAACAACTACTACTA